TCTGCTTGGATCCAATGCATTTCACCAAAATGGATTAACAAATCCAGCTAGCCCATATTTTGTAGAATTTATCATATTTATCCTTCCACAGCAGCATCCACTTTTTTTACTCCATTTTTTGGGGGATTCTTTCTTGTTTCTGAGGGAATCAGCCTTTTTAAAGCTTCGAAAGCATTAAAGGGGCAAAGCACCAAACTGTTTTGATCTGATGGAGGCTTGGGTACCCTGGAATATTATTGGTAATGGTTCCTTTTTATGTTCGAAAATTTATTTTTCTCTATCCGTGACTGTACAGATTGTATGAAGAGCTTAAGTTTAGGCCATGCCCACCAAATATGAAGCAACGATTCTCACTGTCAGCATTATCTCAAGTCTATAGGCTATGAGCTGGAAAATGTAGAGGTCTGCTTTTCTTTACTCAATAAAAGACAGGTACTTATATGTATTAATTTGAGAGTAAAAGAGAGTCCTACCCATACATTATTTTGTGACTGAAAGGAATATTCAGGACAAGTCAATCAGTGCATTTGCAATCTTCTAAATTCTCTTTATCGTGGGAAGTTTTTAATGGTAACAATTCTGTTGAAATTCCAAATGCTTTCAATTTCCATGCAAAACTCCTATTGGCCAAGGTTTTCTGTAATGTTCAGAGGTCAAGCTAGAAGACCAATAGCTATTGCAGTAGAGAGGCTCCCAACGACCAGCTGGATAAGTAGAGAAGCAGGCCACCTTGGCGGATGACATGGTCTTACATGAGGCACAGAGAGACTAAGCACTAACCGTTGTTCAGCAGAGATTCTGATAGTGGAGATGGGTTTTTCTGTATGTTTGTACCAGGTCTTAGTCCCCAGGATTGCCTCACCAGGCAGTGAGCAAACCAGTGTTCAGTAGCAGATATAGCAGGTTGGGATCAAGCAGAAGCATATGAGGAACAAGCCAAAGGTTGGTAACGAGTGGTAGTGGAGATACGAAATGGCATCACTAGTGACAAGAGCGAAATATTGGCTGGAGAGAGAACAATAGTCTGGTAAACAGGAAGTGCAAGGGCATGGCTAAAATAGGAAGTTCATGGGAGGAACAAAGGGTTCAACGTTCAAGAGAAACAAGGTTCAAGGCAAGATTGTTCAAGGAACTGTCCAGGCTGCTGTCCAACATCCCAGGTGACTCAGCAAGAAGAGACACTGCCAGACATAGCAGAGGTTGTAGATTGTGACCCAGGTCCTGATAGTTTCATATCCTATTAGTTGTACTGTCTATCATTATTACCGTATTTGCCGGCGTATAAGACGACTGGGCGTATAAGACGACCCCCTACTTTTCATGCTAAAATGTAGTGTTTGGGCTATACTCGCCATATAAGACTACCCCTCTTCCAATGCACACCAGTGGGAGGAATAGTGCCCCATCATCGGTGTCAGTGGGAGGAATAGTGCCCCATCATTGGTATTAGTGGCAGGAATAGCGCCCCATCATTGGCATTAGTGGCAGGAATAGTGCCCCATCATTAGTATCAGTGGGGGGAATAGGTGCCCCATCATTGGTATCAGTGGCAGGAATAGTGCCCCATCATTAGTATCAGTGGGGGGAATAGGTGCCCCATCATTGGTATCAGTGGCAGGAATAGTGCCCCATCATTGGTATCAGTGGGAGGAATAGTGCCCCATCATTAGTATCAATGGCAGGAATAGTGCCCCATCATTAGTATCAGTGGGGGGAATAGTGCCCCATCATTGGTGTCAGTGGGAGGAATAGTGCCCCAACATTGGTGTCAGTGGGGGGTGGAATAGCGCCCCATCATTGGTGTCAGTGGGTTGTGGAATAGTGCCCCCATCATTGGTGTCAGTGGGGGTGGAATAGTGCCCCATCATTGGTGTCAGTGGGGAGGGGGAATAGTGCCCCATCGTTGGTGTCAGTGGGGGGGAGGAATAGTGCCCCCATCGTTGGTGTCAGTGGGAGGAATAGTGCCCCATCATTGGTGTCAGTGGGAGGAATAGTGCTCCATCATTGGTATCAGTGACACCAATGATGGGGCACTATTCCTCCCACTGACACCAATTACACTTGCTGACCCTGTTCTAGTATGGTGCTGCTGCAGCCAGCATATGTGGTTGCAGCAGCACCTCTACATTGAACACTTACCTGTTGCTCCTGCACTCAATTTTCGCGGGGCCGCTCGGCTCCACCCCCTCACCGGTGATTGGCCGCCTGTGTGCCTTTCCTGAGCTACAGTTCTGGCGACCAATCACCGGTGAGGAGGCGGAGCCGAGCAGCCACGTGAACATCCAGTGGCCGAACTGAAGGAGCAGCCGCGCTTCCTGGACTGGATCGTCGTGAGACCGGAGCCAGGTAAGAAACAGCCCCCTGCCCACCCCTGTACTTAGTGTCCCTTCCGAAGGGGGGGGGGCTGCGGCGGCACCGCGCCGCCCCCCTAAAAAGTGTCAGTATGCTGTATACTGGCGTATAAGATGACCCCTGACTTATGAGAAGATTTTCAAGGGGTAAAAAAGTCGTCTTTATACGCCGGAAAATACGGTATGTTGAGTAGGGAGCCCATCTATATGTTATTTACTGCAATTTCAATCTATTATTGCAGTCTATTCTTTTCAGAAACAGGAAACAGCAAGTGATTTTTTTTTCTTAAAGGAGTTTCACCCCTCATATCACTGAGCTTCCAGAAGCACACCAGTGAAGGTCTCCTCCTTTTCCCTTTGAAACTTGCTTTTAAGTCTATTTATCATTTGTTAAAACTATGATATATCAGGATTGCACTGGTATGTATCTGAAGTGGATTTAAAGTAGAACTACAGTCAAAACTTTTTTTTTCATTTTGGATAGAGCAAGGGGGGTTTATTTCCCTGTCAGATTTCTTTTGACCATCTGTGTCCCAATGTGGAGATTTCCCTTCACTTCCTCTCCCGTAGCCAACCAGGAAATGGGAGGAAATCCTTGCAAATTAAAGAATCTCTTGGGGACCCCCAGGTCACCAGAACTAGTGTCCCCATTGGATGATTCCCCCTTTATTTTATATCTTTTCTGGGGACGACCCAAAATTTTGGGATTGCTTTCACTTTCAATTATAGCGGTAAACAGGACAATTAGAGAGGTAGAATTTCCTTAAAGCAGGCACAGACAGCAAAATTTGCCTTTAGTTATTCTTTAAGGTGTGATATCTACAAACAAATGTATATTACAAATATATGTCATTGTATTGCAGTTTTACAGAAGTATTCACAGAAGTAGATTCAGTTTTGGAATGAAATGCAACACTGGTTCTGACAGTGTTGTTAGCTAGCTGTTGGCTAAGAGTTAGTAGGACAGCAAATAACTATTTTACTACTCCCACAACAAAAAGCGTGTTACCACAGCAGACAGTGTTTTGTGTGCGTATGGTATGTTCCCCTTCCTGTTTGGTGCTGGTTGGTACAGTCTTTATCCTCTCTCATCTGCTCAGTTGTCTAGATTTACTTACCAAGCAGAGAGGGTGCTTAGAAAAGTCATTGTCCTCTCACACTTCAAAAGGCTGGAAGAACATCCTCTGTATTGCGCTTATCTAAACTAGAGTTGTGTTGGATTCTAATTCTGTGTGTTAACTGAAAAGTGAGGCTGTTTGTGGATTCTGCCAAGACAGCAAGCGGCCATACTGTCCAACAGACTGGGTTTTAAGAGGTATGTCATTGCATATATCAGCATTTGAAACAGAACAAAGAGGATATAGAAGACTGTGAGTGCTCTGCATTCCTTCATCTCATTCATAGCTTTTTTTTTTTTTTACATACCTTAAAAAAATTAAACCTGTAGTCAAAAAAAACATGGCAGCTACCTTTGTTGATATTCTTCTGGAAATGCTAATAACCTGGCTGTCTGATGCTTCAGTGCTTTTAGTTGTACAGTAAGAGAACGTAGGATCAGCTAATTTGTTCTGGGTCAGCAACTCAGAACATATTGGAACCTGTAGATTAGCAGCCCATTGGATCAACATCTCGATGTTGTAATAAAAATCACTGCTGAGAAAAGCAGCTAGCCACAAAAACATAAATCCATTCTTGTCATTGATATTAAGGTTACAGGAAGGGCATTCATCTTTTTTTTTTCATGCTGCTGATTGCCTCCAGCCTTTTGCAGCCCCTTCCTCTGTACATGCACTTGCTCCAGTGCTGGCTCTACATCATTCCTTGCACCAGCTTCCTGTAATATCTGTGAACTATGCCTGTTTCAGCACAGCCAACTTGTAGATCCCACCAAAGGCATATGTGAGAAGATGTGGGAGTACAGTTGTGAGACAGTTGTCACCTCATAACAGGAAGTTCTTGAACAACGACCTTTCTGGCAGGATCTTCAAGTTTTTTGCTTAAATCAGGCTTTCTCAACATTTTCAACACAGGAGAATGTTTGAAAAAACTTTCTGCTAAAAAAAACCCTTCTAAAAATTACTATATCTACAACTCTTGATACATTAATGTGATAGTCAGTGGAAATAATGCTCCTTACATTTGTGGTCATTGAGAAGAATGACTCCCTTACAGCTAAAAAGATCATTGTTATCAATAGGAACTTATCCGAGAGGCAGAAATTGCTCATTGCTCAAGGAACCCCTAACAACCTCTGGAGGAACCCGGGTTTCATGAAACCATGGCTGAGAAACCTTGCTTTAAATATAGACTGCAGATATTAAAAAAAAAGATTAAGGCACGGGATGTTTGGAAAACACTACTGAACAATGGAAACTAACTGCTGGAAGACGTAGGTTAAAAAATGTCTGTTAAGCTGCGTTTGCAGAACGCGTTTATGAGCGTTTGCGTTTTTTTAAAGATAACCTCAGTATACCTTCCAAAATGCCCAGAATGCACTGAAAAACAGTAAATTTACAATTTCAGACATATTGAGAAAAATAGAGAGAGCAGAAGCAGAGAGAGCAGTATGTGTTGAGATTAGCTGTCTTTTGTTTTGTGGTGTTTGGATGTGTTCCAGCTCATTTCTGTGCAGAAATTATTGCAGCAGTTTCTAACATATTTTCTTTCATGTGAAACCTCAAAGTATGGTGTACCGGGTCCATTTGAGTACCGGGAAAACGCTTTGCATTCATTTTTCATGATGAAAAAAGGCTCTGGACAGCATCTTGAAATGAAAGAGTTAAAAAAAAATTCCAAACGCAAACGCTTATAAACACTGATACCCCTTTGATAAAGTGCGGTTTGCACGAAACATGTCAGGGGAATCCCTCTATTTGACGCTATTTTTATCCGGATTATCGATTACTGAGGTTATGTTTGTATAGCCTCTTTTTGCTATGCTGTATTTCATGTGAGTGTTCTGCAGTTTACCAAGCTATTTTTTTAATTTAATAAACGGTATCACACTATTAGTACCATTTTTGCCTCCCTGGTTCGTTATATTCTCAGCCATCTAAGGTGGAGGAATCCCTGGACTCTAGACGGCGTTGGACCCTTCTGGTAAGCCTATGATGACCCCCATGAGTGAGTGACACCATCCCTGAGAGTCGATCGCGGCCCTAGATGACGCCATTCTAATGACCAGATCTGGATGTCTATGTGGAGTATTTACATACAACGCCTAGTTTGTATGTACTTCTGGTAAGCCTATGATGACCCCCATGAGTGAGTGACACCATCCCTGAGAGTCGATCGCGGCCCTAGATGACACCATTCTAATGACCAGATCTGGATGTCTATGTGGAGTATTTACATACAACGCCTAGTTTGTATGTACTTCTGGTAAGTGCATCACTATACAGTTATCTCACGGAACAGCTAGGAGTCTGCAATACTATTGTGTATCCTACAATTTGGAACTTTTAATGTTCACAGGACTTTCTTATACCAGTTTATAAAATGAACTGACATATGAAATGGACATATTATTTATGGTTTTTATTGTAATCTTGAAATCTAGGGCTGCATTTTTTTGATTTATAAAATCTACTCCTGAATGCAAGTTTGGTGCGTTCAAAAACCGACTGTAAACTCAACTGCCTGTAAACGATGATGTGTACATGGACACATAGGAAAACATTAGGGAGAGTTCAGAGGCTGCTGAAAAAAATGCAGAAAAGCTCCTAAACGTCAGTTTATCAGCTGCAGTGTACATGGAGCCTAAAAGTAACTTTGCATTTACAAAGTTTTTAATTCAAGTGATTGGTACTTCCCTACTTTTATATCTAAATACAAAAAATGGCTTGCATGGCGTTTATATAAGTTGCATGTTTTTTTAACAAATTTTAAGTTTTTTTTAAAACGAATTAGCTTTTTATTACATGTTTATCCGAGTTAATTAGGTGTTAATAATGCGTACCTGAAAGTGAATTCCGCCTTTGCAAGTCCTAGTGGGTTTCCTCATCATCCGTTTCCCACGTAGGGTAGTCAGTTTATGATGATTGATTACCGGAGTCCAAGGTATATGCAATATTAAGCACTATCTCCCCGCAGGTCTTCCAAGTTTCCACTCTAATAGGCTGCAGCAGGCTGCGAGTCATCACTCAGTTGCACAGATACACAGACCGTTTGCCATAAGTAATCACCTCAGTTTAAGAATTAACTTTGCACTGGCAAATACAATACAATAATGGATGGTTGGGGCACCGGTGTGCTTGTATAAATCATAACTGTGACACGGAGGCCATTATTAGGTCACAAGTTGGGGCTTTGTAATAATAGCAGAAAATGTATCATTCTGCAAATTAGAAGAGGCTGCCCTGAGGCATGGGAATCGGTCATTTAAATAAACCAAAGGCTGATTTTGTTATAATAGGGACATTATTGAGGAATATTTGCTACCCTCTTTTGTATGTTTTTTTTGATAGATCACTTTTTCTGTCCCCCCACAAAATCTAAAAACAAATATTTAGCATATCTACACACAAATACAGGAATATTTTCCTGTTATGTCTCTTTAAAAACACTGAAGGTACAGAAAAATTGTAGATGGTCCTGTCAAAAATGCAGTGAGTACTTAACTCCCTGTACTGGGATGACAATGCTGCCACTTTAAGCTACTATCCAATGTCAGTGGCTAACATTGTCTAACTCCTAGTTACAATGGCACATATGTGACTGTGGTAATGCTTTGGACTCGGAGTTGTGCTTTGTGCCAAAACCTGCACTCAGGGGCGGACTGACAACTCTTGGGGCCCCGGGCAATAGGGGATCATGGGGCCCCTGTGTCCTTGCCCAAACTCAAAAAAGCCTATGAAAAAGGTACCAGGGGCATCTCATGGGGCCCCCTACTGACCCTGGGCCCTCGGGCAGTGCCCGAGTTTCCAAATGGTCAGTCCGCCCCTGCCTGCACTGCATCTGGAAGTTGAGCATGGGCTGCCCCTAGTGGTGGGAGGGAGACCTAGATGTGACAATTGGTGTGTTTTCCAGGTCTCCAAAAATGAAACTTCATCCAAAAGGGGAAGTTCCGCTTGTTTGTATCCTAATCCTTCCCCTCCCCCCACCTCCACTGTCACATTTGTCACTTTTTGGGGGGAGTGGATACCTGTTTTTGTCACAAGATAATGTTTCAGAGGAGACATTTGTTACCATGATAATTCTGAAAGAGTGGATTTCTTTGAAGTAGGCTTGCACTGATACCGATACTGGTATCGGTGCCGATACTAAGCATTTGCATGAGTATCAGTACTCGTGCCAATGCACCAATACTTAAAACTGATGCCTTCAGGTTCGGTTCTTTCAGCTGTCAGTGGAATGCTGGCATATATAATTTGTTAAGGAGAGGCGGGCCTAGGTGGGGGAGCTGTCAAACTGTCAACCCTGTGGTCCCGACGAACTGGCTCCTCTAGCAGACTCTTACAGGCAAGTTGCTATGTATGCAGAGCGGGACCGGGACTAATAACATCATCAAGCAGAGATAGGCCTTATGTAGGCCCTAAGCACATGGCATAACTACAAACCTGACAGGGGCTCTAAATGTTCCAAAAAATGTTTGGCTTTAGACATCTTTCCATTGAGCTTGGATGGGAAATTATATCAGGATTAAAGTTGAGATATTTCAAGTGACAAAGCATTTTGAAGAATACCATTACCGATTGGTGCTGCTCAAAGTCCGCATTGTTGGTCTTCCAAGCTTACACTGTATATTTAGGTGCTGGCAGAAACAGAGTACATCTCACTCCAAGATACAATATAACATACAAGTATTCAACTCCGCAGTGAACTGAATGAAAGACCACTTGACATCAGAGTTTAATACAGTGTGCAGCTGTACCTGTAATGATATAAAGCATTTTGAAGATTACATTTTGGGTCCCTTCGTTGTGGATTGTTAATCCAGTTTCCTGCACTGTGGCCTACAATCTAATTTTCAGGGATGGTAGGTCTGAAACCCTAATAACCATCCCTCTGGTTCACTCCTTTTTGTCAGGTTCCTCACACACTATAGTCCTAGGTGTATGTTGGGAATCACACATATTTACGACAGGCCTCTCCTTTTTTAATGGTTCCAAGCCTAGTCCACAACGGGTGCCACTGAACACTCAAGGCCCTAGAGACATAGGAGGGAACAAGTCAGGCGTGAACTCACAGGGGAACCTTTCCTACCACTGCCAAGCAGGTGGACCCTCCACCAAGCTTGCACTCATTTCTGACCATAAACAATTGTATTATCTTTATTTCCCCAGTTAGAGGCCATCCTGCTAAGTAAAAAAGGCAAAGAGACAGAGTCCAATTCTTGATTTCCATTTTTCCAAAGCATTTGCTAAACTGCCTAGCATCAACATGAGAAAGTCCAAAATTATATATATCAGAAGTCTAAAGATATTGTAAGTAAATCCAAAGACATGGTAACAGCCAAAAGCACTCTTAAAACATTTTCAGAAACATTGATTTTCACAGTGCTGGTACTGCAAGAGGGGAAAGGTGGTGGCAATCAAAAATCACAGCTCTCATGACAAACAAGCGACCAAAGTTCCCTCACTACTTTCCAGTGCTCTTTCCTGGGGGGAAAAGCATGATAGAATAAAGTTATCTACACAATTTTTTCTCTTCCCCATCTTTCTTGCCCAGAACTCTGACTCCTCTATTGAGGTCCTCTTACCTCTTTCCAAGGTGTATCGTTGAATGACCGACAACATGACCTCACAAGAACAAAACCAGGGCACATTGGGGTTGATTTACTAAAACTGGAGAGTGCAAAATCTGGGGCAGCTGTGCATGGTAGCCATTCAGCTTCTAACTTCAGCTTGTTCAGTTAAGCATTGACAATAAAACCTGGAAGCTGATTGGTTTCTAATCAGAAAAGCACCAACTTTTGCACTCTACAGTTTTAGTAAATCAACCCCACAGTGACATCCAGTGTTGCCTGCATAACAACTACAACAGACATCCTCCAAGAGATATGCAATGGGGTCCTAACATCCTGTTACAGATTAGGACCTAAATCAGAATTACAGCAGGAGAGGTGGGCAGTCTCCTGCCCCTATTACATTCATCCAAAGGCCCACACATTAAGGCCCATCTAAATGGAGGCCAAATAACCTAAATATTTGTACCTATTATACTCATACAGAGACCCACACACCAGCATAACTCTAAGTTGAAGTCAATAAATCCAGCAGAGTTTTTGGCTGCAGGGGAAAACTTGCTGGAAACCCATGCAAACACAAAGAGAAAATTTAAATTCTTTGCAGACACTGGGAATGATTTAATAACCCCTTGGCGCCGGCGCCTCCCAGCCCTTTAAGGGGTTTGTGATGCCAGGAGGCATGGCGAGGTTTAGGGTCATGTGACCACCACTATTGGCTGTCACAGTGGCCACATGATCAGAAAGCTCGCAAGTAGCAATCAAGACCTTTCCATGAGGCGCCGGTAAATATGCCGAGAGCATGCAGGGTGCGCACTCCCCGCACACGTTTGTTTATATTGGGTATGCAAATATGTAGCCTCTCGGCATCAAGGCCCCAGGCCATACCATCGAAGGAACAGGCAAATAAGCTGCTCCATTTGTTGCACTTCCAAGGGAGGCTGAATGAGATGAAGCTCTGTTCACTTCCATCCTCCAAAAACGTGCAAGCGAAAAGTGTTTTTTTTTTTATTTTTTGCAAATAGAAACTTCACCACAATAACTTAACTCTGGGGAAAAGTATCTCGCAAAGTGCAGCTTCCCTTGCAAAGTGAACAGCCTATTTGCCTATAGTAAATCAGCCTCACTGTCCTTGGGGGGAGTTGAAACCAGAGCCCAGCCAACCAGGCTTGCACTTTAAGCTGCGCACTGAACATGAGGCTGTGAAAGGAGTAATCATTTCTGCTGGGATAACTAGCTCTCGATGAGGACATTACTCACCTATGAAAAAGCTGTACAGTTTTCACAAGTCAAGTGCGCACAGTGAGCAGTGCCGTGTATAATAGCTCCGATGGCTTTTTTGACACTTGAGAGATTAGCTCAAATTTCTGGTACTTTCAGCAATTGTGCTGTATGTAGGAATAAGATGACCAAGAGTGAGAGCCATTTAGTATTAGCCCAACCTTTCTGAAACCTCACATTATATGACGACAATATTTTTCCTTTAAACGCCAGATCACGGTGCTGGCCGCGTGATTTATTGACTCTTCCACTTTTAGATGGGCAACAAGAGACGTGGAAGTTCTCTAAGGACAATGTTCCAGATAGATCAATTTTCTGATATACTAGTGCAGGTATCTTGGAGATGACTGGTCTATCAGTCAGTACTGAGTACCAGCTTCCAGGCTGTATATTCTGCAGCATAATGCTCAGGCTAACCAGAGCTGAAAATCTATGGAACCTTTGTTTTTCTATGGACACTCAATGGCTGGTTTTCGGATACACTATGGAATATTGTCAGTTAATACCTGCTTATAAAAGGAACTATTACTGTATCAGTTACGTACAACTCATTTTCATGTGATATTCACATTTTTATGAATTGAGATATAAAATGTATTTAGTAAAATTCCTTAAAGCTGATCTCCAGGAAAACAGCTATGTAGACAGTTGGTGGTCAAATACGGGAGCTGTTTTGTTGGCCAAGGGATTTGTATTTCTATCCATTCAATCTCC